TAGATGCGCAAATACTGTCCCTTGGTGCTTACGACTCACGCCGCTAAACGTTTACATACAAGTTAGTGATACATTTATGTATGTCCTAAAAAAACAATACGTTTAAGAAAGTAATAAGTACTCAAAGAATAAATGTAATATTGGCAATGTGATGTCAAATTGTTTACACTGCGGTCAATTATATGATTATAATGAACAAGAATGTCCACACTTTGCTTTCATATTACTTATTTTCAAATTTCGACGTTAATATTTGCTATTTCATCATATAAATTTTACTTTTTGAAATTATCATTGATCATATCTTGCGTGAAAAGCATAAAAATATGGACAAAAATATCTGTTTGCCCATATTTTTTTAAAGATTACCTTGAATTATAGGTATATCAACATACATGGTTACCTAGAAATGATTATAACTAGGATACGATTTGTGACAATCTTGCAGGTTCACAAAACTTATATTAAACACAACCTAATCTATTCATCATCAGAATATTCTATTACTCAATATCAGAGATCCCTAGAAACATAGCCTTACGGGACGTACAGTCGCCTGTACATGTTATACGTAACGTCCATTACACTCATAGATAAATGAACGTGTACTTTCAGTTGTATTACTTATTCTGTATGCCGTGTACTACCCGTGCGGATAAAAGATTGGGATTAGAAATGGCGACTCATCGAGTTTGTAGTGACAGCACACACGGTAGTACGTAAAGCATAAACAGCGCTACTAACTTTATACCATTATTATAATTATATAAATTAACAGGTTAGGTTGGTTTGTTTGGAAATTTTAGGTATTCAAAAAATTCTTATTGTATGGTATTCTTAAATCAATTTACAAATAATATTTATTTTTAATAATTGAATTACTGAAACCACAAAACAAAACATTTAAATACTTAAAGTATATTGCACAGTAGTTCTCTTCCTCGTGTCTTATGTAAGCAAAAAAAAAAGCAACACTTTATCGCAACTAATGTATAATATTTTTATGGTCGTTACTGACGGGTGTGAGAGAGACTGCAAGCGAGAGGTAAATAGAGGTCACACCATTTATAATCCCATTCTTTATCTGAGCGACTTATACATCTGTACTATTTTGTGATTTAAGTGGCACTCTTATTTGAAATTTTAATAATTCAGTTCTTACTTGTCTGTACTTCTCGTATCTACAGACTACATGTTTTTTTATACTTATATAAAAATATTTTCTATTTATATTTTTCCTCCAATCAATATCACAAGTAACCGTCAAGTGTTTTATGTTCCTACTCACTTACGCGTACTGCCCGATATACGAAGTCTAATTCTGACGCAAGTACATACGTCGTTTAATATTGTGTAAATATACTCTGTATTTTTTTAAATATGGACGGCAAATAATAATTTAATGTTGCCAAATATGTATAAGTCAAAATCGTATATTAAAAATATGCAAATAAAGTTATTTATGACGTTTTATTGTATAACTAATAATTCTTTTAATTTAAATTGACTTTATTTGCTAAACATTAATTTTAAATATGCTAGAAATATTTTTATAGTACTTTAACTATGTACTTGTACGAAAATGATGATACTAAAGAACTAAATTGATACATAGCGGTGACATAAGCCGAAAGTCTTAGTACATGAATGAGCATTTAAAATGATTTTACATTACTTATAGAGTAATAATCATATTAATAATATTAATAAATTTTATGCTATAGAATAAAGATTTTACGCCCTTTACCTTTAACCATGAAAATTGTTTAGAAGGTTGTAAAACATAATGGGTGTTATTGACGCAAAAATATTGTACAGTGCAATACAGTAGTATAATATTTAATACTGGACAGGGTTTATATCAACAAGTCGAAGCAAGATATTATATATAGTAATCTTTTAAGTTTTTTTTTAAACTGGCTTTACGGCTCTGAGTTCTAGCCTCTTTTAACAGTTTTATGGTCAACCAGCACCTTATAAATGCAATATTATTAACCCATTCGCTGTCCCGTGTATTAGATATAATTCATTGTTATTGTCTTACTATTGTGTCTAAAGATCGGACAGTGAGTGTTAATTTGTACACTCACGTTATTAATTGTGATCAATGATATACGTAAATACATTTCTGTGATAATTGAAAAAACGGCTGCTTTCATAGAAAGTTAACTCAGTGTAGTATATTATCTTTCTTAGTCTATCTTCTTAGATAAGCGAGCTAACGGACTTATTGTGTAGGTACTAAATATGGTTACTACAGCCTTAAACATACATTTCTCTAACTTAAAAATAATGTTTGTTATTATGTGGTAAGGAGGTACATAACCCAGCTTTTATTATGTCATTTTAATGATAGAACAGACAATAAAGAATGGTTTTATATTTTATTATACGCCCTTATTTCACATATTTTCTTTAGAAACAAATATAATATATAATCTAAGGCTATTTGAAAATTAAGTATGTATTACGAACTACATTTACGAAAATAACTTTTGTACATGTCTTATATAACTAAGAAAACAAAAATAAAACAAAGAAATGCACTGACCTGAATAGGAACGAAAGTACGGAAGTATATAATATTATTTTTATGGAAACTAAAATAACTGCGTTTATTTAAAGTCTTACAATCCTTGTATTTACTATACACGGCAGGCTTTTCGCCTTTCGCTAGTTAATAGAATTGGGTTGTGGTTTGTCATGTTTATTTTATTGAATACAATACTCAATAGAAATAACAAGGAAAAACAATAACATTTATTATTTTATTCGATTTTCAAAGCAAAAGCTATGACATTTCTAAACAATATGATTACTACTTATTTTCGATTTACTAATAGCGCACATCGTAGGTTTATTATTTTAAGTTAAACTGTAATACTATCTATAAGGTATTAACTTTCATATTCCCATCAATGTTAGGAAACCAAGAAATCATTCTGATGCTTTAGGTTCACTATTGAACGTACAATGAAGTAAAAAAAAAAAACTGATAAGTTCAACTCATTGAAAATTATACAAAATATATTATAGCTTTTAATTTCAAAATAATTAAAAAGAAATATTAAATGCTATCAGTAAGTTTTAAATTAGTACAAGTATTCTTAAAAGGTGGGAATGGACATTACGTTACGATGAGGGCCGCGGCTTTAGTCGTTACAAGTTTTTTTGGTAGTATTGCAAAAGTTAAATAGATTTACTAATCAGTTCCTCTTAATATTAATGCGTTTTTCTTGACATATTTTTGCGGTTTAAAAATAACTAACGATCCGCTCCGGCTTCGCGTGCGTGATTTCTGGATCTCGACAACATATCCATAGTTATAGTTATTAATAAAAATGTTGTGAGCACGGTACGAAATTTACGAGCGATATCTCAAACGGTTTCGTAATATCTGTCTCCACCTTGACGTTCCACCAGTGTTTGATTGCACCGAAAATACATTGAAAGCGTAAGGTATGAGCCATATCAGATATATATAAGAAAACAACGAAATCTTTCATTTTACTCACTTAAAATATGCCAGAACTGCAGTAAGCAAATAAAAAATATCTAAAAAAATAAATTAGCTATGGTCGGTTCGACAAAAAACACTTGCGTTATTCACTAAGTAGACTAAATATCTCAAAAGTAAAACAAACCATTTAGTGCAAATGCCTTGTTTTTTCATTAAAAATAAAATAATTTTTCAAAAATGATATTTATAAATTTAACATGTTAGCTTAGCCTAGCGTCGGTGCGTAATCTTTCGATATCTTTTGTGAATTTACATGTAAAAATAAAAATAATGAGGTGTATGTCTAATATATACCTCAAAGTATAATTGAATAATTGCAATGTTCAATTGTACCTTCGAATTTTGTAATTAAGTATTTTAATTGTATTTGTTTACAAACATTTCACATACATTCTCATACGTACAACAAATAATGCCATGAACAAGAGATATTTGAAACATATGTTACATTACATACATTATACTGTTAAATAAATACTGATTTCATTATTTATCTACATGAATATTCAAAAACATTTGTAATGACAACAAACGCGGGAGATAACTAACTCTCTTTTTTAATTACGCCGTGGACTTGTATAGGCCAGATCGTTAAACAATCTTTTTTTTTTTCATACAAGGATGGATGAAAATTATTTAGCAAATATGATGTGTCCTAAGTCGAACCTAATATTATGTATTTTAGAGCAAATATGTATGATATTTTTTCCCCATTAAGTTATATCTGACTAAAGAAACTTACCTCATACTTGGCAAGTGGCATAACAAAATACATACATGCTGTGATTGTACTAGTAGAGATTCTATTGCACATTATCTTGTTACATATAAAGTGTGTTTAATATTGTGATATGTTTGTATTGTAAATAAAACTTAACATAAAAGGAAGACTAGTTAATGCATTATTACAGAGCACTTATAGATAGAGGCAACTAAAATAGTTTGTGCAAGAAATAAAATTAAGCAGGGAACCAACTATTAGCTCAATTAACAGAGGGCACACCCTGTTTTTACCCGACTGCCTCAGGGGGGTGAGGTTTTTTGACTGTATGTATGTCTATTTCTTTGGCACGCTCTGTAGCCTAAACGGCGGGATGGTTTTTAACATATGGGATGGTAGAACGTGTGTGGGTTTAGAAGTAAATATAGAGTATAAAATTTGAAATTTTCTCTTTTCAGTACAGTTTTTTTACGTAGTCGAGTATTTATAATTACTGTTTTAGTTAAAGACATTTTAAGTATATATAATAAAAAATTAATAGAACTAAACAAAAACTTTTGAAACTTTTCTATATAATATTTACTTTAAATTTTACATCATACGCTAACATCATTAGCAGCAGAAAATAAAGAAACAATATTTCTTATAAGTCATTGTTTGTGATGTCTGTTTATCATAGACGTGGTCGAGTCTAGTCGCTGCTGGTCAGAAGTGCAGTCATTAGGGAATTTGGTTCTAAATGGTGCTATTGTTTGCTTCTTAAGCTCCCACCTTGTTCCGTCGTTTATTTAATAGGGAGTTGTTGCTCTGCTCCAAGGCTTTAATTTGTACCTGAGAACAGAACAGAAACATTAAAAACAATCTTTTTTAGAAATACGAAACGGTATAAGTTAAGGCACTGTTTGATAGCGAGCTTCTCCACCACGGTTTGCAATTCACTGTAGTAATTGTGTATTTTATTGTTATTATCTGCAAAATTGAGAAAAATATTATTTTTGTACTGGATATAAATACTTATCCGGCTCGAAGGACCAAACATGTATGACAACAAATGAAGATATTTGACGTACTTAAATTTTTAATTTCAAACAACACAAGAATATAATACAAGAGAGTTTTATAATATAATATACATTAGCGAATAACAATAAACGTAGTTGCGGCATTAGAGAATTCACTCTTCACAATTGACGAAATCGTCGTTTAGTATTCCCTTGTTTACTCCTCCAATACTGGAGAGATTTTGATCTTTTTAATAAAAGATGGATGGTGGTCATGTTTGCAGATGTATGTTTTCTTCTATTTTTGTGTTCGTTAAATTTGTTTGCTGGATGTCTAATAACGGCGGCATAACAGGGCAATTTTAGTCATTTTAAAACTTTTCTAGCTTTAAAATATTTTTTATAAGATAGGGAGTGACTAACAAGCACAAACCTCAACTTCCACCTGATGGTAAGTGGTTGCTGTGATCTATAGACATCTACATCTATCCTCAATAAAGAATCAAAATGCAGATGCGTTGTCACCCGTGAGTACACTCACCATACGAAACATAGCAGTGTTAAGCTGCTATTTTACGCTGGTATTATGTGAGAGTGTCGTCCTTCATCGGTCGAGCCGACCCCATTCGTGCTACAAATAAACTACTAATATAGCTGCAACATGGAATCAAAATGCAATACAATGCTCTGCAATTGAAATAAAATGTAGAAAAAGATAAAATAACATGGATTGTGTGGTAAAAAATATTTGCTTCATCATCACACACAGACTTGAAATAAAAAGATGCTAAGTGGTAAATTATTCGTATGGTTTGTGGTGATACTTGACGGCGCCGTGGCGCAGTGGCCTAGCAATGAGTTGCTGCACTGGGGGCCGCGGGTTCGAATCCCGCACGGAACAAGTATTTGTATGGCCTACAAATATTTGTTCCGGGTCTGGATGTTTGTCCTTGTGCAATTTGTGTTTGTAAGCTGCCTCCACGATACAGGAGGAAATCCTAGTGTGGGAGTAACGTTTTAAGAAATAAAAAAAAAATAAAAAAATAATGATATGAATTTGTTTATTATGTACCAGGAGTCTGGAGATCATAATTTACTTGGTTCATTACTTTTTTTCAGCACATTGACTTAAAGTCCCTCGTTCTAATTATCCAAGAGGCCGTACGGTTTATTATGATTAAGATAGGATTTGATTGCGCAAGTATCAGGAGAGCATGACGCACGCACCTGGTCGTAGTCGACGCGCATGGTGGCGAGCGAGCGCGTCATCTCGTCCTGCACGTCGGCCCAGGCGTCGCCCGCGTCGCGCAGCAGCGCGTGCGTGTACAGCGGCGTCTGCGGCACCTGCGTGTACTGCCGCACCCACGGACTCGCCATCACCTGCCCGGACACGCCATATGCAACACCTTGCACCGCTTATAACTAATACTTGTTAAGGCTTATTTCAATAAAGATACGATTTTCAAGCCTTATTATAAAATATAAATGTTTAGGCCAAATAATTAACATTTGAAATTTGCATTCAACACACGTATCCTTCTGCTGACTTTGTAAAGATCACCATCGCCCCCTCTCCCGTGTGGGTCGCTTGGCAGAGGGCGCGTACGCCGGACGCGAGTGCGAGGTAGTAGCTTGGCCGCAGCGGCTCTGTCTACTAGTGTATTATTTGCGACCGCTGGATCGATGTTTGATTACGATTAACGGGGATTTAGTTTAGTTTGAAGTGAATTAAATGTACAATAAAGTGGATAGATTGAAATAGTGTACAATAAAGTTGATAAACTGAAATAGTGAAATGAAGACAGAAGCCAATTGGTGATCTACGACTGGAGGGAGCGCACTTGGGAGAACTGCAGCTCCTATGGATCTTCTGCCTGATTATATCGGGCCGTCAGGTCACATATATAAACACTACTACACACTACTTACATGCACCTTACTTATCACCTGACTGGTACCCTGTGGTCAACCCTACCTCCTGAAATAGGTAAGTGCTTGCTTATTTGTCAGCCGTTTTTTGAACATTCATCCATAGGCCGTTGGGCCCCGTCCTCTGTTGCCCGTCGATGGGATTACTTATGGGCCCTAGTCCAGTCGACCTTTGTCGGGGCAAATCACGGCGTGATCAATAAATTATCAACTTTAAACTTATAAGGGCTGAATTTTCAATCGTCAGACAAAAATTACCGTTACAGCCTATTAAAATCCACTGCTAAACATAGGCCTCTTCTATAGATAACCTCATATTTATATTTACCATAGCTGCCACGCTTGGCAAGCGGTTTGGCAACCGCACGTTTTATTATTTTACGTCGTTAATAGGAAGACGCTGCTGATCATCTTCTGATTTGTTTCCTTCTGTCACCTCTTACGGCACCCACGGGATGATATGGGGTAGTGAATAAGTATATCCGCAACTAAACGGATGAAAATTAAAAAAAAAATCTTTTGTGTTCTTATGTAAAAAGCTATTAAATATAATTTGTTAACGGATATATGACAGCAAATTAAACCATTTGTGGCTTACATCAAAATGCCACACTGCGCTTCCGTTTACTTACTTACTTCCTGTGCATTATAATTCTATTACGTAACTATATAAATATACAAAATAAAAACAAATCGTATGCTGATTTTTCAATAGACTCAAAAAGTAGAATGGTCACTGACTTGATGAATTGTGAGTCGTTTCGCCGGGTCGACAGACAGCATACCACGGATGAGATTCTTCGCTTCGGCGGAAACGTTTGACCACTCTGGCTCCGGAAAGTCGTACTGACCTAGTCGAATTCGCTGGAAAGAGAACAAGTTGAATTCTTTATTGCGGTTACATCTGGGTTCGCTTGTAAGTTCATTTATTTCTATTTTTCAAACGTACTACTCTATTCATCTATATCTATATCATCATCATTACAGTCCATCACAAGTTAAGACACAGGCTGCTTCAAAAGACGGTCCTCTACCACATGCATCCATCGAGTTTCGATCACTGAAACGGCATACTTTCATTTTTTTATAGGATAGGGTGACAAACGAGCACACAGTCCACCTGATGGTAAGTGGTTACTGTGACCCATAGACATCTACATCTATCCTCAACAAAGACTCAAGATGCAGATGCGTTGTCACCCGTGAGGACTAAGATGGTATGCCTCTTTTCCAGTAAAAAGGGTCTCCGGTTCTCTACACTCACCATACGAAACACAGCAGCGTTGAGCTGCTATTTTACGCTGGTTTTCTGTGAGAGCGTGGTCAACCCATTCGTACTACAACTATACTACTTATATAGCTGCAGCATGGCTCTACCACGTAATCGTTTGCTCATACTTAGTACTTACGACTATTGCAGTATGCAATTCGAGCTTATAACCCATTCTGCGCATACAAGATGGTAATTTTATGATTTATTTATTTAAAAAAAAAAAAACAATAGATTGTTCCAAACAGATAAAAATACCTTTTTCATGCCGGGTGATATGGCGAGTCCGTGATTAGAGTAGAAGGGTGGAAAACCGCACAGAAGAATATACATCACGACACCCAAGGACCAGATATCACACGACTTATCGTACTTGTCTGGACCGAGAACCTGTAAAAAATTTAAAGTATTACTAAATGCTTATAGTTTAGCGTAATTCGATGCGATCATGATCTATTTGACAGAAGTACAAAAATGGTTACAAAACGGGTAAGTGTAAGTTTTATGTTAACATCATCTGCATATATAGGGAAATGATAAGAAGATGACCTTCGATTCGTTTCAACGACTTTTTCTGCCACCAGGGCGGCGCCACTTAAAAGTGAGGTATAATATTTGTCAGATATCATAGCGGGGAAGTTAATTTGTTTGGAAAATGTAAAAGTTAATGTTCTTTCTGTGGTATTGGCTATATTTTGTATTACACATTAGCACAGTACATCTGGTGAGCAGAAAATTATTAGCCCTCATTGATCTCCTCAAAATCCAAACCTCACCTGCGCGCAGTGCACCCTGCTAACTAATTAATAAGACTGCCGACAAATGGCCATTCGATAATGCTGGAATATTTTTTTTTTCATTTATTGTTGCACTGGTTACAAGGTCTTTATCCAAAAACAATAAATCAAGCGCTGTTTAAAATACGCGTTCATAGAAATATATAAACCTTTTTTTTCATGATACGTTATTGCGTCACTTTGCGATGTTTTTGGGAGATTTTACAGCATATGCTGCAGAAATAAGCGTGCTAAGCTAATGAGCTATATTATAAGTGTATTCCTCTTTTTTTTAATAGCTATGATGCTTCGAGACAACTTTAATTCCGAGAAAAACAGTGGATTCAACAAGACTATGAATGATGGGTGCCCATGGAACAAATCTCTTTCCTCCTCAATATTAAAAAATAAAAATACCTCCGGTGCAACGTAATATGGTGTATAACACGGGGTCTGCAATGTATCCGCCTGCGAAAGTGTCTCTTTAGCGAAGCCGAAGTCTGTCAATTTTAGGATTGCGTTTGGCTCCATGCTTGTGTATAGCAGGTTCTCTGGTTTTATGTCGCGGTGGGCGATGTCGGAGTCGTGCAGATGACGTACCGCCACGCAAATCGAGTGCATTATCTGTGAAAGTAATAACTGAAATAAAATATTATATCGAAATGAGCAGACAGAAAAGAACAGAAATACTGAGTGATCGTAAAAGGAAAGAGTACCAGGGAAGAAGTAAAGAAATAATAAAAAAGATAAATAGGAAAAAAATGGCCATAATGTCAGTAAAAGTTAAATCACATATATAAAAACATATTGAAAAAAAAAGTTAAAAATAGTATACAATTACTATGATGTGACGACCTGGTGACGGCTTACGGATTGAATGACGCAGGTAGCTTCCGAGCTCCCTTGGGGGGTTCTCTGTTTAGCAGTGGAGTTTTGAGGGGTTGTAATGATTATGATGGTAACATATCAATTACAAACGGTGATCATAATATGGGAGATAAGACTATTGAAACAGAAACAGAAACAGAAACTTTTTTATTCAATATAGATTATAAATAATACTTATTGAAAGTCATTCTTTTGTTTGATTACCACTGGTTCGGAAAAAACCTCTGTCCTGGGAAGAACCAGCAAGAAACCCAGCGGGACTTTTTTTTTAAATAACAGCTTACAATCATGATGTTACACAAATTAACAACACAACAAATTAGAAATAGCTTGGTAGCGATCACCTCATTTCCAGGGGTTATTATCATCCATAAATTCCTTAATATTATAATAACCCTTTTTATACAAACTTAGTTTAATAAAGTTTTTGAACTTTGAACAGGCCAAACTTTGTATATTTTCTGGAATTTTGTTGTAAAAGCGTATACATCGCCCCAAGAATGAATTACTGACTCGATGGAGTCGAGTAACTGGTACTACTAGCTTGTGTCTGTTCCTAGTATTTACAGAATGAATATCACTTATTTTTATAAAACTACTTTTATTTTTGTGTACGTACATTAAATTTTCATAAATGTATTGAGAGGCCAAAGTTAATATATTAATTTCCTTAAATTTTTGTCGCAGCGACTCTTTAGGCTTTAAATCATAAATTGCTCTTATGGCCCTCTTCTGCAAAACAAATATAATTTCTGTGTCAGCTGCGTGTCCCCATAGCAAAATACCATACGACATTATGCTATGGAAGTAGCTGAAGTAAACTAGTCTAGCTGTTTCAACACTGGTTAGACTTCTAATCTTTTTTACAGCATATGCTGCAGAACTAAGTCTGCTTGCTAGTTTTGATATATGGGGGCTCCATTGAAGCTTCGCGTCTAGTGTGATTCCAAGAAAAATGGTGGTATCTACAAGACTCAGTTTCTCCCCATTTAAAATTACATTAGTATTTAATTGTTTGACATTTGGAGTCACGAATTTCATACATTTTGTTTTAGTGCCATTTAAATGCAAATTATTAACATCGAACCAATTTACTAATTTAGATATAGCATTATTTACTTCGTCATATTTTAGTAACTGTCGACTTAATTTGAAAATTAAAGAAGTGTCATCTGCAAATAATACTATATCATGGTTATCCCCTACTATGTAAGGTAAGTCATTAATGTATACAAGAAACAGAAAGGGGCCGAGAATTGAGCCTTGAGGCACGCCCATTTGTACCATCGATCCGGAAGAGCTCATATTGTTAATGACAACTTTTTGCGTTCTCTTACTTAAATATGAAATAATTAATTTAAGGGCATCACTTCTTACACCGTAGTGTTGAAGTTTCCTGATTAATGTTTCATGGTGAACACAATCGAAGGCCTTGGATAGGTCACAAAATATACCCAAAGCATCCTGTGAATTCTCCCATGCATTAAAGATATATTTAATCAGCTCAACACCGGCATCAGTTGTCGAGCGACCCCTTGTGAAACCAAATTGATTTTTATGAAGTAAATTATTTATATTAAAAAAATTTAACATTTGATCAAGAACAATTTTTTCAAAAATCTTACTAAGTGTTGGTAGTACAGAAATAGGTCTAAAATTGGCGGGGTCTAATGTACTACCAGATTTAAATAAAGGTATTACTTTACTATGCTTCATTAAATCAGGAAACACACCAGATTCGATACTAGTATTAAAAATAATAGCTAAATGAGGCGCGATTGTATCTATTATAGACGCAATAACTTTAACGGAAATCCCCCACAGATCCGCAGTTTTCTTAACATCAATAGTTTTAAAATATTTTACAATATCTTTTGATGTCACTTTATGAAATGTAAAATTCTTTGTACACACATTTACATTATGTTTAAGTAATGATTCGGCGACGGCAGGAGAAGAATTTAGTGACTTAGTGGTCAAGATCGGAATATCAGTAAAATATTTCTCAAAAACCATTGCTACGTCCTGATCTGATACAGTTAATTTGTTGTTAACACTTAACTGGTAATTTGAATTGCGAGAGTTGATCTTACCAGTTTCGCTATTAATTATACTCCATGTCATTTTAATTTTATTGGAAGCCGTCTTAATTTTGTTGCTCAAATGCAAAGACTTGGCTATGGAGCACACTCTTTTAAATATTTTTGAATATTTTTTTACATATTCCCTAAATTCGACGCTATGATTATATGACCTTTCATGGTAAAGATCATATAACCTATGCCTGCTCTTATGGACTCCTACTGTCGCCCATTCATTGAATGACTTTCGACTGTTCAAGGAGAATGTTTTAGAAGTAAAAGTATTATTAAATTCATTGCAAATAAGCTTAAATAATGTTCCATACAAAAAATTAGGATCATTTTGGTATGAAAGTGATGGAAGTTTTTTCACTATGTTACTTCTAAATTTCTCCAAGCGACGTGCATTTACTGGAACAGACACAACTTTCTCATCTACTTGCTTTTTGTGAACATAAGGTAACGAAACTACTTGTCCACAGTGATCAGAACTTAATTTTTGAATTATACATTTATGCAACGGCTTCACATTTGTAAAAATGTTATCTATACATGTTGCACTAGATTGAGAAATACGCGTTGGCTCTATAAATAAATTAAAAAGACCATATGATTTAAACAATGATCTAAATTTAATATTGATGGAGGAAGCTTCTAGGAGATTGATATTAAAATCTCCACATATTACAACAGATTTATTCTGTTTATTAAGCTTAGCAAAAACTTCCTCCATAATGTTTTCAAAAGTATCATATGTACAACATGGGGGTCTGTAGACGCTCACAACAATGAGGTGCTCAAACTCAACACATGCCATTTCTACAGTACGCTCAACAGAGAGGCTCACAATGTCTTTACGTTCTTTACATGATAATAATTTACTAGCTAATATTAAGGAGCCACCTCTTAAAACCGTATCTCTATTGAAAGAACTGACCACCTGGTGATTACTGAAGTTAAACATTAAATTATAAGATTTTAACCAATGTTCAGTAATACATAAGATATGAATATTGTTGCTATTTAAGAACAACTCAATTTCTAGCTCTTTGCCTATCATGCCTTGTATATTTTGATGCACCAGGTGTAAACAATTTTCATTATCTTTCTGTGGAGTCATACAATTAAAGATTTGTAAGCCACATTCTAAATTATTTAAGTTATTATAACTGCTAGAGATTACCTCTATTGTCTCATTTTCTAATTTAAATTACTTGGAACTGATTCCAAATTGCATGTTAAGTCATTACACTGCTCAAAAGAAGCAGATGTCTGTGTAGCCAAGTCCTTGGCTGAGTTAATATATAAATAATAAGATAGCACATTTGCTATCTGTCTTAAATTATATTTTGATAGGTAATACCTATCTCTAGTCAAAAATTTCTTAATTAAATTATTTATATCTATTAAATTAATTCTATCATTATAATTGTAACAATTAAATGTCAAGTTTAAATTATTATTACATGAAAAGTTATTCATTAATAAATTTAAATCATATCTTATTTTATTTTCCTGCGGCCAACCCTGTATGTAAGGCAATGTAAACAAGATAATTTTATGTACATTTAAAGTATTTAGATTATCAATATATTTTAATAATTGATTTTTGTTTACATTGCCTCTTCTCCCAACAAGAATAATTAATGTGCTATTAGGACAAAATTTACTAGCTAAAACTTTATTCATTATATGACTAAAGGATGCTCCAGGCATGCAATAATTAGTGATCATATGTCCTTTTAAACAGTTATTTAACATCATGCCCAAATTTTTGCCTATGTCATCACAATACATAATAACTTTATTTTTTTTAATATTTACATTACTTTTTAAGTTTATATCCTTTGTCATAGCACTGTCATAGAGTGTAGATGAAAATAATGAGGTCTTACTGTTAACTTTGTTATTTACACATATTGTCCCCGATGAACCTGGTATGGAGCGCTGATACTCACTCTGATTTTTTATTAAGGAGTCAAAGCGCTCCTCATTATATTTACATGATTTTACCAGATCATTCATGGCCAATATGTGTTCTTTTATCTCATCTTGAGCCGATGCATATTTATTTGATACAATTTCTAGAGAGCTTTTAAGTGATAAAATTGTTGAATGTAGACACTCTATATCAGTCTCATAACAGTGATTCATATTTTCCACCTCAATTGAATATATTTTAAGTTTATTAATTAGTTCTTGCTTTTCTTTGCATACATTTATATAATTTTTAACATTAATTTTAGTTTTAATTAATTTTTGTAGTTTTCTAATATATTTATTAATTTTTATATATTTCTTTAATTTTCTTCTACTGCAGGTAGTTCTTGCTGCTGTTCTTGACATGACATAATCATCACCAGTCAAATCGATTGTTGTGGAGGGTTGCAATGCTTTAGATTTAGTAGATTCACACTCTATGAGCTCGTTGAACAGACTTTGAGTTTGGGACGCTTTCATGTTATCTATGTAATGTTTTAATAAAACAATCTGCTCATTAGCCTCACTTAACTGTAACTGCAATGCAGCAATTAATTTGAGGGATTCCTCATATTCCTTGCTGCATTGGTCAAACTCATCGACTGTTCTCTGAAGTTGATCCCTTTCTTTTGTAACAAATGTATATTCTTTATGCAACTTAACCATGTCACTTTTTAGTTTAGTATTTTTAGCAATTATATTTATTATTTCCTTTTCATTGTCATCCCTTTCTTTAATTAATAGCTCACACTGCTCCTTTGACGCCTTAAGTTCTTGAAGCGCCATTTGAAGTTGGTTCTCCAATTGGCGCGTTTTGGCGTTGCGTGTATTCATTTTACTATTAAATGTAAATAGCAAAAGAAAACAAAGAAAGAAAACCAAAGAAGCAGAGTAAGCAAATGTCGAGATGTATGGGCGTATTTACAGATCTCAAATTAAATTATCATGTAAATAATTCAAAATGAAATCCACAACAACACTTAATAGGTAAATCTTAAAATGTTAAAGGGATAACAAGAAATTACACTTACAATACGTTTAAACGATGTTCGTTACAGCTGTTACTTTTGGTTGAAACAGTAAACACAATGTATGTAATTAAAATAGGTACTTCTGACTTTTACTTATATCACAAACACAAATAAGTCGTATTTAACAACTGTAACTCAAAATTGAGGTGGATATTATTAATTTACAATATTTAATATTTTAAAATAGTTGGGAGCAATTATTTTACAACTTGTCACCGGGGTTGCCACGATAACAACATTTTAGGAAATGTACATATGCTCTTACCTCAGCTGCCTGTCTCTCTGTAAATGCTCCTTCTCTGTTGTCTTGTATTCTCTGGAAGAGCTCGCCGCCGTCCATACATTCCATCACCACCAGCAGACATCTCTTTCCTCCGTATGTATTGTCATATACGTCTATAATCTGAAAACAAGTGACTTAATTAAAAATAATAAAATTACAGAATTTATAAGCACTTATCTATAAAAGAATACAAATGTCATGTTACACTGAAAATTTGTGAAGCACCCTAGGTCCTATAATTTGGTACACGCATACAAATACATCAAGGTCCGAAAATCAGCGCCGATTGTCATTTGTGTGCCTGTAGCTCGTGTATGATAAACAAAATTGAGAGACCTAGGATGTTGCACACATTTTCAGTAGATATAATAGTTAGTAAATAGTTCTTTTTTTTTACGTCGGTGTTTATGAGTAAGAATTTTTTTTATCACGTGATAGTGTAAGGGCCGTTACGTTACACATTTAAACAACTCAATATCAAATCAAACAACTAATTCACAGCCCATCTGATGGAAGTGAATGATGTGGCCCGGAGTACAACTAAATCTATTCTCGACAATCTCGTTCCTCGTTACCACCGTCCTCTACATGGTTTATAACGTGTCACGTATAGATAGATCATTTTGTGCAAAGTCCACGCGTCCGTCTGGGTAAAGGTGGTCCTAAAAGGAAGGTAAGGACCGCCTTCTTACATATTTCTGCCGCCTAATTGCACTGCTAGCACAGTTGTGTTCCGGTCTGAAAGGTACAGAGAGCCAGTACTCACAGACCTTAGAGGTGACAACACATCTGAAGCCTTCCTTGTTTGAAGTTGGCTTGAGGTGTCCATGAAATGCAGTCGCCACTTGCAGGTGGTAAGTTCGTGAAAGGACTTGTCCACTTGGCAGAGGTATTGCCAACAGTAGTAGTGAGTAGTGACAGACATCTCTCACTTTTAAGGGCACTTCCCGTCACAGATACAGGTAATTTACGTCTGGCGTTGAGATGGTATTTTTTTTATAGGATAGGGTGACAAACGAGCACACAGTCCACCTGATGGTAAGTGGTTGCTGTGGCCGATGGACATCTACATCTATCCTCGTTTGCGAATCAAAATGCAGATGAGCTGTCACCCGTGAGGACTAAGATGGAATGCCTCTTTTCCAGTAAAAAGGGTCTCCGGTTCTCTACATTCACCATACGAAACACAGCAGCATTAAGCTGTTTCGCTGGTATTCTGTGAGAGCGTGGCCCTTCCCCGGTCGAGCCGACCCATTCGTGCTACAACTATACTACTAATATAGCTGCAGCAAGGCTCTACCACGTATGACAAACCGTATGGTATAACCGCCATATATCGGAAGTCAGATTTTTCTGAATTGCGCATAGTCGCACTTACGTGTCCGACAACCACGGGACGCGATGGTGTGATTCGCAACACTCGGCATAATAATATCCATTATTTCATCTGTCTTTCCATCCAATTCTAGGTGTCTTTAAAGCAAAAGTGAATAGGTTTTTGTTAAGTTCACTATCTAGTCTAGTAATTTTAGCCAAACACTGGACTAGGTCTAAATCGCAGTCGTCAAATATAACAAACATATGCCAAATAAGTACTCAAACGCTACTCAATTTTAAGACGCTGACGCGTCTCGTGCTGTCTCTATCATTTTAAGTCAAAGTGACTGTGGCAACACGAGACTTATCGACATCTCAAAATTGAGTGGCGTTTGAGTACTTGGCCATTAACATCACACATTTAGTTCCAGATATTCAATATGGCTATTTCTACCATCTACAAACACCTTTTTGCTCTTTGCATATAAAATGAAGAAGTTTTAATGAGAAAAGTATAGATTGTTGTAAATATTACAGATGTTTGTAAGAGCGGTTTCTTTGTAGCAAACAACACGTGTGCAAAACGTATAGAATAAGTACTGATAGGTAAATTACGTAATCGCTTCCTGTTATACCAACGGAATGGAATCTTCGGCAAATAACAAAGTACGTCTTATGTTTTCCATTTAATGACTTAAAAACCTATCAATGCTTTATTCCTATATGAAAACAAATAGCGTAACAATGAGCAATGTCAGTAGAAAAACTAAGCCATTGGTAAGAACTCAGAAACATCAATTCATTTTATCTTTACTCTTTTTTATTCTCCTTTTGAGTAAAAATTATAGGAAAGTGTAACTGCTGTATCAGGCGTAGATCAATCAAAAGAAAAATAAACTTGACCCTTTTTGGACACAGCCAATAGGGAGATTAATTATGCTTCTTCATAAATATTTCAAAGAGAAAAGTCATAACCTATAAACGACATACTTGTTATTTTGTAGTGTTTTTTTTTTTTTAAGTAGGCAAGAAATAGTTTAGTTTGAGCTAAGGTCCAATAGTCTGCGGATTTAAGATGAAGGAGATACGAGTATTTTCTTAGTTGTTTTTATAAAATAAGGGAGACGAACGAGTATGGCGTTACCACGTAAAACTACCACCGTATGTAAGTACCATACTAATTGAAATCATGTATTAGTATATGTATATAATCGCTTTCGGATAATCACACAACAATAAACGCAATAAAAACCGTAAAAGTAGTTTTATCCAAATTAAACTTTCAATGAAAAGTAAAAGCCGACTTCAAAAACTAAAAAGTATAAAATATTTCCACATTAAAGCTTCTGAAGTCAGTGCTACGACATAGGATACGAGTGGCAAACGAGAACACAGTCCACCTGATGGTAAGTGGTTGCTGTGGCCCATAGTGTGGTACATCTATCCTCAATTAAGGATCAAAATGCAGACGCGTTGTCTCCCTTGAGGACTAAGACGGAATGCCCTATTTCCAGCAAAAAGGGTCTCCGGTTCTGTACACTCACCATACGAAACATAAAAGCGTTAAGCTGCTATTTTACGCTGGTATTCTGTGATAGCGTGGTCTTTCACCGGTCGAGCGGACCCATTCGTGCTACAACTATATCTATACATATAATAAAACTGTAAATAGCAGATGTCTGTACATTTTATATTTTTGTAATAAAAGTGATTGAGGGGTACTAAAAATAAGTAATTAAATACATTTCTACCATTTTTAGAATTTTCTGTCTGTCTGTCTGTCTGTCTGTCTGTCTGTTTGTTTGTTAACGTATCACGTATAAAGTACTAATTTATATCATAAGAATTGTTAAGGAAATTATAAAGTGTATCTTCGGGTTACATTTAGTCTTTATTTCATTAAAATCAGTTCATTCCATCAAAAGTTATGATAAATATTCTGAAGTATGGGTAGGGAAGTATAGGTACGAATTTGCTCAACGGTGGCTTTGTTTGAGTCATCAAGTGCATTTTAAACTAATATCATATCATAAATCATAGTTAAATTATGTAAAATAATGATATAATTATGTATATCTAAAACGCAGTAAACAAAAGTATTAAAGAACGTATTAAATATATTATACAAAAATATATTAACCTTATTAACTAAATCTGAAGCACAATAGTTAACCCATTTCTTCGATAGATGGTGGTGTTGTGAAAATGTAATGCAATTGCAATGTGGTTTTCTCCTGTAGATGAGTTTTCATATTTACTGCTAATCTTTATTATATTACTCGCTGCCCTACTGCGTGTTGACAAACTCAATTTATTCTTTACCGCCGAGTACTCTATGTGGTAAATCAAATTTTAAAAGAGCTATTAACAATTGCGTTGGTTTTGGCGAGAGTCAAACTTTATTTTTTGCTTACTGTGTAGGCACTGATTTATAAGTTCTCTTGCGTTTTATATAATGTATCAATCGCGTCAATTAATCTCTTTTATTTTTAGAATTGATGTTAGCAGCGCCATCTCTCTCTAAATATATACATATAATAAAAATGATGATAACATGTTGTGTCTCTTTCTGTATATTGTATAATATATATTTTGGTGGCTAAAATCATTATGGGGAACTGAAAATAATTAAATAAGAACATTTTATAATTATTGGCATTGTCTGTCTGTCTATTTGTCTGTTATTATATGAACGCATCACGTCTAAAGTAAACATCTTTTATTTTCAAAGAAATCGTTAAGAAAATCATAAAGCGTATCTTCGAGTTACATTTAATCTTTGTTTTATTAAAATTGGTTGATTCTATCGAAAGTAATGATTATTATTTTGAAATGTAGGTTCGAATTTGTTCAATGGCGCCATAAAATCTCAGAAATAGTAATAAAAAGATTTGTGTGTAAAAAAAACGTTCAATAATAATTAATATATTTATACTTAAAACACAAAAAGAGATTTAAAAAGGATGTTTTCTCACACAAAGGACGTAATAGATGGAGTTGTACAATTTACAAACTTTTCTGAATTGCTATGTTGAGATTTTTCACCGATGAATCGTATTGAGACTTACTGAAGAAATTTGTATCCATCGAAGCTATACAACGGAACCCGACCAAAAATAAAAATTTTGCAACGAAATGTCGTGACATTGTATTTATAATATACGCAAAATCAGTACTGCCATTTTAGCGCTTTGGGAACTAGATTTAGCGCTTTTTTGGAATGTATAGCGCGCATTTCGAAATTTTAGCACCTAGCTTAATCCAGCGTTTTTTGGTGTATTTAGCACACATTTCAATATTTTAGCGACTAGCGGGTTATTAACTCTTTTATAGCAGCACTGTTAGTCCACATTACCGATAATAATAATAATGACCTTTATTATTTTTTCCCGCAAATAGTACATTGCAGTTTATCTTTTTCAAACATATTTTTTCCACAAAACAAAGAGCATGGGAGACGAGTCCAAACTAGGATACCCTGTGCTATGGATCTCCTGGCTTCCCCTTTAGGATGATCAACTTGATTTTTTTACCGACGACTATAAGCGGGGAAATCCCCTTTATTAAAGTTTTCGTTCATGGTTTTGGCAACGCATTTATTTTGCTTTATTCAGTTTCAGTCAGTTGCTTAGAGCACAGCTAAGTTAAAAGTTACTTAGAAGTTATAACACAAAGAAACTGTGTAGCAACCGCAATGAGATGCTGACATCTGAAACTAAGTTGCGAAATACATTGCACTTTAAAACAATTAATGACATTTTTATTGTTCGTATAGTACTAACTACTGTTGACAGCAATTGCCA